AAAATTAATGTGAAGGAAATTTTGTCGTGAATGTTAATAGTTCTACTTTGAAAAATAACAATGCCCTTCCAAAATACTCTTTAATAAGAAAAAATATAAGAAGAAATATAAGAAGAAATATTATGATTAAAAAAAATTATAATAATATTATGAGCTAAAACTATGTTACATTTGTTGTGTATCACTTTAGAAAATCAATAATGTTTTTTTTTTTTTTTTGTAATTTTTATCCGTTCTTTTCTAGTTAAGTTAATTTAAAAAATATGAAATTTGGAATCGTATTTCAAATATGGCATATTGTGCTAATACAACTTAAAAGTTAATACGACTATGAAAAACTACCTATTTTACAAATAGCTTTTGACTAAGTTGAATTACCTTAAAGATAACGACATGTTGTTAATTTTACCTATTTAAAGAATTAATAACTTGTAAGTTTTATCAAAAATTTACCTGTAAATGAGAAATCGACTATTTGGTTAAAATTAAGTAGAAAAATAAGGTATAATTTTTCTACAATATCGACCTAATATTACTTTAAAGTAGAGTAAATAAAGCATCCAAATAGGTTACTTTACAGGTATAAAGTTACGAAAAATGTCCAACCAAATCTACCTAGTAGGATATTTTACTATAAAGACGATTTTTAGTTGCCAAACAGGTTGATGCTACCTAATTATGCTACCTAATTATGATACCTAATTTTACTTTAAAGGAAATTTACCTATGAGGTAATTGTTGGTTATTTTTGTTAGTAGTTTTTCCCTTTCTGATTTGGTTAAAGTTACTTTTAAGTAGATATGTGTACGAGGTAGATTTCTTGGTATAATTTACGTAAATGTATGCCTAAATTAGAACCATTTGGTAAATTTAAAGTACAGGTATATTTTTCTAGTCAATTTTACGTAATAATTACCTCAATAAGTAGATTTGACTTTTACCAAGTCAAGTTATAGCTAATAATATCGAAAATGTTTGCTGGGAGTTTAATATCAATTTTCTTAAAATCCGCTTATGTATTTCTTATGTGACAATTTTATGAATTCCAATTATTTCTAACGTCAACATTCCTAACATTCTTTACATTCCATAAATTGCAAACATTCTACAGGGCGTTTCAAAAAGATTGGTCATAAATTATACCACATATTCTTGGGTCAAAAATAGATCGATTAAACTGTACTTACCTATATACAAAAGTGCACCCAAAAATAGTGTATAAGATAAAAATTTAAATGAAATTTTTTAACGTTGCTCTTAAACCATTTGGCATTTTTTTATGACATTTTATATGACGTGTTAGAATACCATGACTAATAATACCGAGAAAGAGGCAATCTTTTTTTCTTGATTTTTATAGGTTTTTGGAGGGGTCACCGCTCTTTTCTCCGCTCAACTTTTTTGTAGTATAAAATTTAATTACAAATGAAACGCCACTGGAATGAAACATCCATTTGGAAACTTTTTTGTATCTTAGTATTGGTTTGTAAAAAATTTAGTTTAGACGATACAGCCATTTAAAATGACAACTTAAAAATATTCAATGGAAATTCTACGTATGAAAAATATCAAAATCAAGTTTATTTTTAAATTACAAACTAATGTCATCAAAATAAAAAAAAATAATTTAACAGGTGTTTAAAATTACATTCTCCTCCTGTATACACTTACTACATAGTTTTAACAATGAAAATCGAATTTTGATATTTTTGCATACGTATAATTACATTGAATATTTTTAAGATGTCATTTTAAGTGGCTGTATCGTCTAAACTAAATATTTTACAAACAAATATTTAGACAAAAAGTTTCCAAATAGATGTTGCATTTCAGTAGCGTTCGATTTTTAATTAAATTTTATATTACAAAGAAGTTGAGTAGAAGAAAGGGTGGTGACGCCCTCCAAAATCCTACAAAAAAAAAATATATTGCCTCTACCTCGGTATTATTAGTCATGGTATTCTAACACGTCATATAACATTTCACGAAAAAATTCCAAACGGTTTAAGAGCAACGTTAAAAAAAATCATTTAAATTTTTGTCTTATACACCCTGTAACTATTTTTGGGTGCACTTTTGTATATAGGTAAGTACGGTTTAATCGACCTATTTTTGACCCAAGAATATGTGGTATAATGTATGACCAATCTTTTTGAAACACCCTGTATAACGACCTGTCAAACAACAGCTGTTGATAGTAAAGGTGAAATTTCTAAGGCGGGTTGCGACCTTCATATTTGCAACTATAGCCATTTTGGAGGCTATTTTTATTCGAAATTAGTCGCCAAGCCTGCCAATTTATGAAGAATATATAGGCAGTTTCTTAAAAATTACTTTTTTTATGGTGGTACTAACTTAAGCGTACTACTATTTTGCCCCTAGCCACAAAAACACCTTCATAAAATTTACTGGCTCTCTGTCGCAACCCCATAGAATAATTAACCGGCTATTTTATTTGGCAAAAATCAGAATAATGCTTGGCTGTGCCTGTCAAGTATTAAGATGTCAACTGTGATGTGTGAATGGCTCTTAAATGTCAAATTATTTAAAAATGTATACTTCTTTTGATATTTATTGCAAATAATTTGTAGTGTATCTCAATTAAAGTTTTCCATAAATAAAGGTACAACAAGACAAATAATATAATGTTCTTATACAAAGCACTTTTTATTATATAAAAGAGAGGTAGGATATAATGCTGGTTTACATATTAAACCAGCGAATTGTAAATAATAATTAGTAAACTCCTCGTCATAAATTTCCTCAATTCATAAAATTTAAAAATGAATCTTCTTACCTTGGGATTTTAATGACTTAATGTGATCATCCTATTTCAAATTTTGATCAGTTATGATACCGAGGTATTTTGTTGTGTTTTTCATTTTAATTATAAAGTTGTCATTTGTATGTTGAAAGAAGGCCTTTGTAAATTACATTGCTCTCTATGGATCTACTTTAACACAAAAATAGTTTTGTGGCTATAAGTTGCTATAACCTATCGTCTCAAAACTATTTATAATTTAAACATAGTAAGTAGTAAAACGAGGGGTAAAATAACAATAAATTAAGGGAAATACTTAAAAAGGGCAGGTTTAAAGAGTATTATCACAAGAAAGTATATCCGTTCTGTTTATTTATCAAGTATTGTTTGAGGTTACTATTGATTACATTTATTGTTGTTTTTTTTTTTAATTTCTGTAGGCAGTCTATTAAATTTTTTAAACCTTTTATAAAAAATATATTTTGGGAACTTTTAGTGATGGCTTGCCGTACATGAAAGTCAGATTGGCTTCTTATATTATAGTTGTGATATTGCGAATTATATTGAATTTTTTTTAATAGATCTGATGCGATGGTAGGTACTATGTCATTTTTATTTTATAAATAAATATCAGTCATGTACTGAACATAATTCTGAACTGAAAGCCAATTAATTTATTTTAACATAGTTGCAATACTCATCCTTCTGTCCTTTATTAATAGAATATAAATAGGCGAAATAAGGAGTCCAAATATTTTACATGAGCAGGCTTAAGAGGTAAAGGGGCCAATTATTATTGGATAAATTGCTCGAACAAGTTTTTTAACCCTAATTAAAAGGCGATATAGAATGATTTTAAAAATTATGGGTTGTGAAAATCATCTCATGGTTAAACCTAAGTAATGCCAATGCTTCACAAAACAAAAAATTCAACATCCTAATACTACTAGCTGCTTTCGATCTTTCGTTCCAAGTTAAATCATTTCTCGTTTTTGTTACGCTGCAAGTTTACCCTTGTGAGCCTCAGTCTCGATAAAGTGGGAACCACCATTTTAGCGTCTCTCGAATTTATTTTATTTTATGGCCGCCATTTTAGTGTATTTTACATGGTCAAAACAGAGATTTACAATTTTTTACAGAACTTTTCTTTCACTGGATGAATTTTAGTAAAACTTTGGCAGCTTATAGTAGGTAAAATGTTTAATGATTGATATGAGGCCAGGGCCGCTGAGAGCCATGCGTGGGCCGCGGAGAAAAACACTGACAAGGGCCCCCACATACTGTAATCTATTTTTTTTTTACCTACAAACTCTTCCTATTCTACTAACATGAGTGTACTTACTAATAAGGCATTAAAAATGTTTGTAAAGAACCGTAATTTCTTCATGAGTTGCTACAGTTCTTATCTCAACCGATTATTGGTAGGTATTGCAGCTAAGAAAAATTCATCAAAAACTATTATCTAGGCCTACTTAAAAAAATCTGTAATTTTATTTGTTGTTCTATTTATTATGAGTACTCTCAAAAGCTGCTGCCCCCCCCCCCCCTGGGCCCGGGCTCCTGGGATTGTGCCCGCCTGCCCCTCCCTCTCGTCGGGCCTGAATGAGATAATTTCAGTATTAAATACTATTAAAAAAAAAGGGCCACTAACAATGCAGTTCAAAAAACTTTACAGCATTCTACATATTTTTTTGAATTTTCTTGCCAAATTTTAATAATCATTGTTGCATACTTTTTAAAATGTGCATAAGTTACGATTTAATGTAAAATTACTTTGTTGCGTCTATATTGAATTTTAGTTCAGCGCATGGGTTGTAGGTGTCGGATGGAGCAAAAGTAGCGAAAGTTTCGACACCGTGTTGCCATATCTTAAAATTGTCTTGAATTTAGAGGAAACTGTATTATTATGCATAGATATTTACCTACAATTTTCACAAATTTCATAGAGACAAATTTTTTAACGGTATCTTATTAAGATGAATTTTTAATAAAATTTGGTGCTTTGTATAAAATCAAATAATAAATTAAATAAAATTTAAAATAAATGTCATTATACGAGGAAAATCAAAAGTGCACTAAGAGTAAAATGCTCTTATTTACAATTTGCTAATTGACTATTTAATGATTGGCAAATTCGGCCTGTAATCCCCTCGCCTACCTGCCAAAAGCAAAGTGCCCATCTAATGGCATAGGTAATTTCGGCCAAGGATAATATTTATGACAGGATTTTGGAATATACCTGAAAATAATAATCTACCCTTTTCATATTTTCATTTCTTAGAAAAGTTAAAACATTTACATTCATCTTTCTTAATTTGATTTTCATTAGTTTAACAACCTTATTACAAAGTACCGGACCTTTTAATATTAGGATACTAACCACTTATTTTGTGGGCGACCAAGAGATAGAAAACATCTATATTACATGATGGCAGTTTCGATAGTAAAGAGTTCACGCGGTTGTGACTTGCTTATTGTAGAAAAATTTTCATTTTGTAAACAAGACGTATTAAAGAGTGGGGAAGTGCGTTGGAGTTGCATCAGGAAAAATTTAAAATGTTTAGCTAAATTGTATACTGTTGGTGCCGAATATATTGTGACCAGGAGTGAATTAACTCAATCATGAACCAGATCAACGTTCTTTGGAGAGAAAAATTGTCACAAATGCATGCAAGCGAAAAGCCCAGGAGGACATATCGGAGAAAGCTTCGAAAATTATAAAAATCTGATGTGTCCAACACATGACTTTCCTATCTAGTTATTACAGGCTTCTTCCGGTTATTTTGTACAACCTATTGCAGCACCTCCATAAATGTTTAGAGGATAAACTAAATATATACATTTTCCACATATATTTACATCGAAACATTTTTCTATAGATATTCATTGAAAATGAAAATACTGAAAAATTTAAATTTTGCACTTTTCCTACAATTTTTCCATTACGGTCCATTTTAGAAAAATCATGTATAAACAAAAATTATAGAGATTAATATCGCAAACAACTTTTATTTCAACAATTTTGATAAAAATCAGAATTTTGCCCATTTTGTCAAATTTCTCGAATACGGACCATTTCAGGAAATTTTGACAAAAAGCAAAAATTATAGATAATAATATTTGAAGTAACTTTTAATTGAACAATTTTCTTCTCCAAACATAAATAACAGATATATTCCATAAAATAAAAAAACGGCCTTCTATAAAGTACCCCCCCAGATGTTCCGACTTTGTCCAAAATCTAATCATTTCACGTCAGGCCGAAATAAACCTTAAGTTTAAAATTTAATGTTTTTTTCTTTATCCGTTTTTGAGTTTTTTTCAAAATTCGAAATTTACACATTTTCTCAAATATGGTCGATTTTAAAGAAATTATGTATAGAATAAAAATTATATAGAATTATATTACAAACAACTTTTATTTGAACAATTTTTATAAAAAAATATTTTTTTTACATTTTCTCAAATTTCTCGAATACGGACCATTTTAGGAAAATTTTGCATAAAACAAAAATTATAGATAATTATATTAGAAGTAACTTTTATTTGAAGAATTTTCTTCTCCAAACGTAAATAACAGATATATTCCATAAAATATAAAAATGACCACCTATAAAGTACCCCCCCAGATGTTCCGACTCTGTCCAAAATCTAATCAGTTCATTGGACGCTGAAACAAAGCTTAAGTTTAAAATTTGGTGTTTTTTTGGTGTATCGGTTCATGAGTTATGCGTTATACAGACACACACACACACACAGACACACACACACACACAGACACACACACACACACACACACACACACACAGACAGACAGACAGTCAGAAAGACAGACAGACATCATCGCGAAAATAGTCAAAACGGATTCAGGGGACCTCAAAACGTAAAAATCCGTCGAAAACTCGAGGTCGAAAAAAATCATGATTCCTATACTTTCCTTATATCTGTATACAGATAGGAAAGTAAAAAGGTTCCTTTCAACAAATTTACCGGACGATGTGATTACCGCGGATGTAAATCTCATAAGAAGAAATGTGTATAACAGTCGTCGTCAGCTATTGCCAGCCCTGCCTAAAGATATTCATGAAGTACATACTGTAGTTGATATGTACAGTTCATCAAATTTCTAGAGGCTTTCGACGGCTAGACAGAGAAAGCACTACTGACAGGCATCCCGACGGATTTACGCAATGAAAGTACACTCTGCGCATCAAGTATTTCACTATTTCATTCAGACGTAAATGTCAGATGTAAATTTCGCTAAAACATTTCTTTTATTTTCGTTTGTGTTTTTTGCTCATTACAGTTTAATAGAACCTAAGTATGGAGTTTAATAGCAAATTAAGAGGCCGCGTGATTAACAGTCAATCTCGCGAAATAATAGCCAATGTTATAGAGTTTATGAGAAGAGAAGGAAACTTTAATTCACCTTCAATACCATTTAAAAATGTAAATGATCGTGTTGCTGCAGCCACAGGAGTATCTAAAAACACTGTCGTCCGCATTTCTGGAGAGAAAAAAAGAATCGATAACCGTGAGATATCGGAATTTTCATCACCAAGAAAAACCATTAAAAAACCAAAAACAGTTAATGATATAGATGAAGCTGCACAAGAATCAAATTTTATTTTTTTATTATTAGATAGCTATTTTTGTTTCTGAGTTGTGTTCATTTACAGGCTCAATTTTTTTCCGTTTCTCCTTTTTGATTTTATATGGGGTTTCAAGTTGTTTTTGACTTATTTCGACGTAAATCACAACAACACACTTTTTTAATAAAGGAAACAAGTGTTAAGAGGTATATGTACGTGTAAACTACACTTACAAAAAATTGATATGAAACCCATGAAACCACCAACAAAAATGTAAAGCTAGAGCTTCCGTACTAGAACATGGTGTCATTCGTCGAGATAATTTATCGTTTTGTTTAATAGATCAAGAAATGTAAATATTCTCCTGTTATTTTTTATAAAATTATAAGAGAAATAAATTTTTTTCTAAATAGTATAGTTTATTATTTTGTAGAAAAACAAAATTTCGAAAATTTTAGTAATGTTTCAGAAACAACCGTTATTAATAATAGGTACCATTTTCCTTAATAAGGTAGAAATAAAATATAAACTATTTCCACGATTTACAAAGGCCTACAAAAAAATTATAGGTATTTTCCGCTATCCTATAAAATTTATATTTTCTGACTCAATTTCAAAAAGTTGAAGGAATTCCGAAACACCTTTTATGGCATAATAATTATTTTCAATTCTACATACTATCTTTAGCTGCTTTTAAAAACGTTCTAAGAAAGTCCAATCAGACCAATTTAATCCCTAAACTATTTCACACTTTTAAAATTTAATTACCTAAAAATATTAAAAACTATTTAAAATAACTTGTTTAGCAGACTGTACAATAGCTATCTTAGTCACACGTAGCGCGTTCTCTGTCTGGGCGTCGAACACCTCTAGAAATTTGATGAACTGTATTCTCCAAAAACGACAACAGGTGAAAATTTTTTGTTTATTAACAGTTCAGTTGATAATATCATTGTTTTTTCTTGCCAAACAAATATTACTACGTTGTGTAAAATGAATGTTATATATACGGATGGCACATTTTCTTTTTGTACGAAATATTTTTATCAATTATTTACCATTCATGGTCTGGAACATGGGCACTATATACCTCTTTTATATTGTCTGTTACCAAATAAGATTACTGACACATATATTAAACTTTTTCTGTTGCTTAAATCTAAAATTTTTAAAGTTTTTAATATAGTTTTTGAACCGATGGAGGCATTCGTAGATTTTGCAATATCAATACATATCGCACTAAGAAATGTTTTGTCAAAAACGAAAATAAATGGTTGTAGATTTCACTTACATCAAGCGTGGTATAGGAAAATTCAGTCTTTAGGGTTAAGTCAAATATACAAAGACAAAAACTCTGAAGAAAATAAATGGTTTATTCACACTTTTGGGCTTACTTATTTAAAACCATCTGATGTTGAGGATTGTTTTATATTTGATTTAATGTCTTGCAAACCAAATAATGAACTGTTGGATAAATACGCAGACTATCTATTACAATATTATATAGCACCTGATTCCGATTTTCCACCAAATATATGGGCAGACGAAAATCCATCTATAAAACGAACCACAAACGCTTGTGAATCGTTCCATTCTAAATTGAATTCTTTATTTTATTCTTGCCACCCTTCAATATTTATTTTTATAGAAAAGTTAAAAGAATTCCAGATCGATTCATATTTAAAAATAAAAAGTTTAAATATTACAGCAAAAATAAAAGACAAGCAAGTCAGAAATAAATTAAAATATGGTAAATATGCTTCGGTCTGGAAAAATTTCCAGATTTAATTTTGTTAAAACTGTATCATATCAAAGTTCGTAAAAATGTAATGTATGTTTTTAGCTCTAGTTTTTAAGTAATAGTGTCTTTGATTTTGGTTTAATAAAGAATGTTATAGCAATTCTAGATCTTATTTTATTTTACCTGCTCCTTCCGGCCGAAAATACCTATACGATAAGAACGAACCCTTAAACCTCCGGCCGAAATTACATATCCCCTTTAGGTACCTGTCCTTTTTCCGGCCGAAATTACATCCGCCCGGCAAATTTGACAATTAAAATACAGATTATATACCATTAAGCTATTTATAACAAAAAAAAGTGTACTTAAAAGGCAATTATATTCACCATAAAATCATGATACTATTACTCGAGAAGATAAACCCACGCACATGCGATCAGCCCATCTCTCTCGCACGCCTGACGTCACTGGGAGACTACCCGACTCAGCAACAGCCAGTTCTATACGGCGCAAAGCGGTTTTGCGTGTATTACTGATTATTTAATTTTGTTTTTTTGGTTTGTTATGATATACTGTGCAGTAGTGGGTCGTTCAAACAATAACAACCAAAAACATACTGCGGTAAATTGAATCAATACTTCCAAAGTTCTGTTGCTGTGTAACTTTAAGACGATTTATTACTTGTTTATCCAAACATTTTTAATTTTTACCCCTCCTTTTTTACATTCATCCGTAATTTTTATAAAAAATATTAAATTGATTGTAAAATGAAAATGTCTATAAGTACTTTAAATGCTCTAAAATAAGACTAACTCAAATGTTTTTTTCAAATATTTTGAATTTTTACCCCCTCCCCTTTATACCCCTACCTGTATTTTATTTCTTAAACCAATTAAATCAATTAAAATAGGTACTACGAGACTACTCGATTTTTTAAATATTTTTACCCCTCCCCTTTTTACTCTTTTTCTA